CCAAAGTATATCATTACCAGCACATCAATCATCATGTAATTACTTTTTTTTTTTGCTTAAAATAAAGCAAATAGAAGAGGCTTTAGGCGAAGATTTTACGGCCTTAAATCATAACTAGGACATCAATCATCATGTAAATTATATTATAAATTACGTACCGGGAGTTTTATTAAAGAAAAAGAATATATTGTCCTTGATTTGGATTGCTTTGAGTTTAGAAAACCCCTTGAAGTTATAATGTAGGTCAAACTTCTAAGCCTTTTTCAAACTTGTCAATGGATAACACTAATTTTTCATCATCATCTTCAGTAATATTATTCTCCTCTTCCACTAAACAACCTTCGTATAACTTCCATAATTTTTCAACCGGCTGCGTAGAAGGCTGGAGGGGGAAGCTAATCCCGACACAGGATTCCAACTTCTCCTTGGGCCAAGGCCCCATAGCCTGCATAATATAATACATAACATTAATAAAATTAATTAATGCAATCCATCCATAATTACTTAATTAGAAAAACACCATTCATCAAAGAAATTAATCTGAACTGATTAGTTATACCTCAGACTGGGAAGGGCTCAATACCCATAAATAACAATCTACTGACTTCAACGTAGCGGTATTCAGCATTGTTGCAATACTGTCCATATCAGGATCTGAGATATAAGTAAAAACCAAACCACATTATTATTATTAATTTATTATTATCATCATTAATTACTCATCTTAATACCACTAAATTTGTGAAAAGAAAATGCATACCTGAAAAAGAAATTAGAACTGCCGAGAAGTGGAAGAAACGTCAGTACATATAGCTAAAAGTCCGCAGAATTTGAGAATGGAAAGGAAACGTACTATATATATTTATTTATATATATCCTTGAAAAAAAGAGGAAACGTACTTAAAAAAAAAAAAAAAAAAGGAAACTATCCTTAAGTCCATATATATCAGAAACAAAAAATATTGAAAAAGAAATTTTCTAAAAATTATACCTCTATTTAGAGATTGATCATAAAACTAAAAAAAAAAAAAAAGTAACTATCCTTAAGTCGATATATATCAGAAAAAAAGGTGTTGAAAAAGAAATTTTCTTAAAATTATACCTCTATTTAGAGATTGATCATAAAACTAAAAAGGAAAAAAAAATAGAATTCTATGAGGAGAAAGGATAGAGATAAGATTTAAAACTTGCAAAATTAAAATATTTGATTTGCTCTCCAACCTCTTCCTCTAAAGATTTTTTATTTTATAAATATGAAGTTATCAACAAGAATCTAAATCAAACTAATAACGCACAAAATCACTAAAATTTGAAAGGAAAAAAAAAAGATTAGAAGTAATTGAAAACAGAGATACGAGAAAGAAATATCTAAGTAAACTAACATCTGTAAAATTAATAATAATAATAATAACTTGGGTAAATGAAAAGAAAAAAATTGAAAAGAAGGTCAACAAAGAAAAAAATTATAAAATTATGGAGGAAAAATAAAAGAAAGAAAGAGGAGGAAAAGAAAAACAAAAAGTGATAAAAAAAAAAAAACTGAAAAGTGAATCACTGTTCAAATAAACAGTGAATTCGACCAAAGCTGTGCGTTTTGGTCGAATCACTGTTCAAATGAACAGTGATTATTCAACCATAACTATATGTATGGATTAATTATATACCTCCATACAGGTGCTAATACAACAGTAGTAGATTCTAATATAGAATGTATAGTTTGACGAATTGCGAATGCCGTAGCATGAACATCCAGCTCAAAGAAAAAATTGGATACCAAATCTGGTAGCCAAAAGTGACGATTCTGCTACAAATAAATTTTTTAGTAGCAAAAAACATGGCACTACGAAAATGGCATGGCAGCAATATAAATTGGCTACCAAAAAAATTTTAATAGCAAATATGAATATTTTTACTATCAAAATTTTGATAGCAAAAACGTATTTTCAGCTACCATAACTCATTTGGTAGCAAAAAACATGGTGCCAAACGAAAATGAGTTGGCACCAAGACTATTTGGTAACAAAAACATATTAATTCTCCTTAAACTTTTTGGCACCAAGATGATTCAAATATTATTAAAAACTCAAAAATACCCCTAAGCCTTCTTCCTACCTCTCTCCTTTCCCCTCTAGTCAAGTCTACCATAGCCGGCGCCAGAGGCCGACTCCGGCACCCTGCACCTGGTGCCGGCGACTGTTTTTCGATGACTGTTTTCCCGCGTTCATTTTTTAGCGATTGGTAAATACTGTATTTACCAGTCAAATTTTAGTAGGACCCACTTTGTTTTAATGATGGTTCAATTCGGATTTGTATTCTCCACCGTGTTGGGATTAAAATAATATATTTATATGCTCAAAATGGTAAATAAGTAATGATAAATTGACTCTTAAAGTGCTCTCGTGAAATTAGGAAAATCAAAGTGAAAACTCTCATGAAATTAGAAAAATCAATGATCAAGTCTCTTGTCCCACATTGGAAAGGAATGAAACCATTATCTCTTGAAAACCCTATAAAGGAACCCTCACTCCTCAAGATAAATTATAATTTTTTGTATTTATTGTCTGAATTGTACCTTCTTAGTTAGATTTATATACTCACAAACAACCACTTAAACTATTATTCCAAAGACCTAATTATTCAATGCACAAAAATATAGAGACCAAGTCCCCTGCATATGCCGCATATGTATTTTACCTATACTTCTTCATTTTCTACTAGCTAACTTTTGATCAATGAAATTAACAGAATTAGACTATACCTCAAGCGTTAGCCTCATTGGGATGAGCCTCATAACAGAATTAGACTATTTAAACTCTACTTGTAACACCCATTTTTCTAACTAATAAATTTGATGAAATAGACGTTAGGAATTAACTAGAATAATTTTATGGTATTATATTTAGTTAATTCCAACATCACGTTGAGTTGCATTTTACAGGTGATCGCGACGAGGAGTCGAGGTGCAGGAATAAGTTCATGCCAAAATGTTAAATTATATATGTGATGATTTGAAGAATTTGTTTATTTTAATTAATTTATTTGTTTATCTTCTATTTAGTGTGTTGGCTTAATATGTACGTATATATGTGTTTTAAATAAAAATCAACCATCGTGTCAAAAAAAAAAAAAAAAAAACTGCTTCACACAATTTTTACCTCATGGACAGCCATTACATCACCCAATTCAAGCCAATTAATATTCTTATTGAGTTATATATTGTAAGCTTTCATTCATTTTCTTTTTGGGCCTATTTATGAAAGGAAGTCAACTACATATACGTACAATGTGAGGAAAATGAGCAGATTCATTGCTTAACCACCTTGCCATATATGTATATTAACCATATGCATGGTCGAAGGAAAATAGGGTAATCAGCATACTTTCATTTTCTCTCTAGAGCCCTAATTCCCAAATACAATTTTTACCTCATTGACAGCCATTACATCACCCAATTCAAGCCAATTAATATTCTTATTGAGTTATATATTGTAAGCTTTCATTCATTTTCTTTTTGGGCCTATTTATGAAAGGAAGTCAACTACATATACGTACAATGTGAGGAAAATGAGCAGATTCATTGCTTAACCAACCTTGCCATATGGGTGAAGGAAGAAGGGAAGAACTGATGTCACCTTTGCAAGATTTTTGGGACCGAAGAGATCTAACTGTGTGTAAAATGTATGGGACCCTTTTTAATCTATCAGTCTATATGTTTTTCTCTGTCTCTGACTTTGTTTCCTATATCCGTTTTGTGTGGCTTTCTCTCTCTTCCATCTGATCACCTCATAATCTCTCTCACTCCATCTATTGTTTACCCTTCAAGGGAACTTGCAAAAACTTCACCATGATAACGATTGGAGGTTTCTTCTGTCTCCTTAGAACAAAAGGATACAGAGAGATACTATATATATATATATTCCCTTTCATGTTATGTTTCTCTAATAATATCAAGTCAATTAATTAAAATTTCATATTACTTTTAGTTGAAAAGTCATGATGGTTAAAATATTTTACTTGACGTAGCATAATTTTTTTAGAAAAACAAAAAAAGGCGACATCTCCACTTGAGTGACGTGTGCAAGAGTGTAAAAGGTCTGTTCACTTTACTGATTCGAGTTTAGAATTTGAATTTTATTACAGTAAAAAACTCTCATAAACAATCACATCTAACTTTTTAACTACAATAAAAAGCTCTCACATAAAGTCACATCTCAACTCGAATCAGCAAACTAAACAGATGCATATACGCTAAATTCTACTTTTATGGGCTTCGTGAAATATAATATTAATAAATGAAAAAATTACAGAATTTATCCGTACGAGTGTATATATTTAAATTCTTATCATTCATTCTTGATTAATATCCTTTTATTAGTATAGTTACTTGACTAAAAAAATTTAAAAAATAAATAAAAAATAAAAAATACCACTCAAGAGGGTAAATAATATTATTTATATCTCCGTTAAAAAAGAAACAATTTTCATTCAATTAATAAGAAGAAAATAAAAGGTCAGAATAATACCTTATTATTTAAAATAATATAAATAATAAATTTATATAAAACCATGGGAAACTATGTAATTTTTACAAAAAATTATTAATTAAAAGTTAAGGGTCAAAATCACTTTTAAAGCGTTCTTGTCTCATTTCCCCTATCAAAGGACCAAAACAGATATATGCAGCCCAATAAGAGATTAAACAAGGCCTTTCAACATCTTGAATGGGAAATAAAATGACACCAGTTAAATTGGTCGTTTTGCCTTGCATGCATAAAGGCCTTGTATTTGGCACATATTTCGTTATCCACTATTCCAAATGACGTAATTTCAGCCTGATGCTCTTAAAACGACATGGAATTTGCATCTAACAAAGACTAATCTTATTGACGTTACAACGTAATATCATGGGAAACAAAAGTCATATTTCATGATAAACTCGCAACAAATTGCGAGATGGTCAGCATCCTGGTAAAAGTCATTCATTCATCATATTTGTTACAAATAAGAAACATGAAGAACACCAATTTACAATAAGTTTAGCATTACAAGGTTGAAATGTGTAGCAACAGGCTGTTGAATAAAATCAAAACGAAGGAACTAAATTTTCATGGTATAGTACAACTATAAATAATCATGAAAGTATTAACAAAATAACTGCCCATTGAACGTTCAATTCTTCGCAGACAACTTATGTACAAACAAATATATACCAAAGATCTGATGCATCATTAGTAGTAACGAATAATGGTGCTCCCTGCCAAATGAAGTACACTACACAACTTCAACGACATGAAAGAATTGTGCCCCGAAATGCATGTGCTGAGAACCACAATGGGAGTGTGGAGCTATTCTTCACAGAGTACATCTCTTTCCACACTCGGCTCTTGCGGTGGTACAATAATACATGCTTGTGTGTTGCCAAGAAAACAAATTCACCACTCTGACATATGGGGAAAATACCCGGCACAAGTCCTCTGATACACCTTAGACTCACTCTATCCACCAAACTCCATTCCTCTTTCTCATAGCTCTCCAAACCCCATATGTTCATCCAAGTATCGGAGATCTGGATCACAGACAAACAACCATCTAGTTCCGACAAGTAGAGTCTATTCCCCGACCCTTCACTCACTTGATCCGGCAATGACATCCTCCTCCAAACATCAGCATCCAAATCAAGCGCGAGCACACAAGAACTACTACTACCAGTCAACCAATGAAGCGCCTTATTGACAAACACCACTTGGTTTTTGTTCATTTGGGAGAACATGAACTGATCATCCTGAAAGGACACAAACTTCCTCCACTTGTTTGACTCAGAATCAAACACCAAACACACGAAGGTCCCATCAGGCCTATGCCCAAAAGTGCGGTGATGGCCGGCTAAAACGACATTGAACTTCTGAGTGGACAAGTTGCAGGCCAAGCCTACAAGAGCCGCCTCGCCATCAGGGTGAAACCGGGTGACGGGCCTCTCTCTACTCCTAGGAAGAATCTTATAATCACCAGTCATGGGATTGCAGACATAGTAAACACCCTTATCAGGAATACTAGAGCAACACAACAAACCATTACAAGAGGCTCTAATCCTAACTCTATCCTTCAAAAAATTCAAGGAAAATTCAGAGACCCCCAATCTATTATCAACACAAATCAAGCTAGATTTCAGCTGTGGTGACTCAGAAACCTCAACCAACAACATGGGATTCTTGGAAGATAATTGGTTGTAGAGTTGAACAAAATATTTATCAGAAGACAATCTACACCAAAGTTTACACACAGTTTTACTCCTAAAAAGAGATTTAATCGGTAACCTTGCCAGGATTTGAAGGACCACCTCGTCCGGTAAAATCCCATCTCTTTGGAAATCCATAACTAGATTTATTTCAACAAATATGGATGAAATTAGAGATACCCAGATGGGAAAATCGCTTACCTAACGAAAGTCTCCAGATGGGCATGCGAACAAACTTCATTTGAATCGGCCATGGCTTTAAAAATCTCCATATTTGGGTTGGCTCCTCTTATTCTGACAAGGTATTTTCTTCAACAAGAAACCCAAAATCAAGAGAGATTAAGGTAATCAGGGAGATAATTTTGATCCAGACAGAGAAACAGAATTAGAATATGCCCCCCTCTCCCCGAGCTGAAACTCCTTCATCAACTTGAGGGCTTTCTTCTCTCTTCTTTTCTTAGGAGTTGGGACCAAAATTTTGGCGACTATTGTCGTTTTAAATGTGGGGGGTCCAAGGCTTTTGGGTAATATGTGGGGTCAGTGGATCCACCGTCGATCAACAGCTTGTGAGCCAGTCGTTGTCAACGACAGCAAATCAAAACGACACGGACTCGCATATAGCATGCAATTGAAAGAAGAAAAATAAATTAAAAAAATTAAAAAAAAATAGAAAAGTCATCACAATACTAGATAGTGTGGCGGTGTTTGGTAACATATTTCTGGGTAAGGGAAAAAAAGAGATAAAATTATACGATAATCTTAATAAATATCATTTAAAAATATATGAATCAAAATTTTAATTCTTTATTCTTGATTGATAATTTTTTTAGTTAAATAATTAGGTTAACAAAAGAATATTTATCAAGAAGGTCCAGACTGATTTTTTTTCAAAATTTTACCTGCTCTGAGCAAATGGACCAAAACTTTACGAATGGGCCAAACAGGCCCAAACTAAGCGAATCAATCCTATATCTACTCTTAGTAACTGGGCCAACGCTTCAGGAATGGGCTCTTCGGCCCAAACTAAGCTAATTATGATGTGAAATACATGTATGTGTGTGTGTGCGTATCAAGCACATATATTATGGAACTGAATCTGAGTATGAAATAATGGGGGCTACATTTTACAGTTCAAATAAATACCTGTTTTATCAACAACAAAAAAAAAGAAATACCTAGCTTTTGCTCACCAGGTTCCACATACTTTTTTTTAGCTGATAAAAAAAGAAACAGTTAACAAAAAATTGCGCCAAAAAATAGGTAAAAAACTGGTGCTCATCAATATGTTACATTTACAACACTGTTTGTTCATCAAAACCTTTCCAACCTGTAATATAGGAGGCTTAAAGTATCAAAATAAAACACCAGTAAACAACTTTTTTTATAGAAAATATCGTTTTCTTTCGAGAAACTAAAAACTGTTGATTGAAAATAATTCCAAAACACATGGTTTATATGTCTTGGTCGAAGTGTTTTATACCTCTTAGATTGCTAGCTCCTTAAAAAGACAAACCGATAGATTGCTTAATTTAAATAAGAGGACTTGAATGGCCAAAAAATTAAATAAATAAATAAACAAAGTGCTCACAAGAAGATGATTCTAATAGCCTGTGTTGCTTGTTCTAATTTTAGAGAATAAATGCTAGTGTCACTCTTTCTGTTTAAATAATGTATCACTCTTTCTGTTTAAATAATGTATCGTGTTAGTGAATTCAATGTGTCAAACAGTAAATGTAAAAAGTGACGCTAGCATTTTTTCACCAAGTGAGACACACAAAGTAACAGAATTATTGGCTTGTAATCGCCAACAAAGACTTGCGCAGAAAAAGTAAAGCACCAGCGAACGACTCAAGGGGGAGAATTAAATTCTCCAAAACATTAGCTTATACTACTAGCTAGAAAACACTACACAGTTCCACATAAAAGCAGGTAAGTCAATTTGTGACAACACTCCTATGCTGATGGATCTCATGAAGATTTTGACTACTGAAATCTAATCACTACTACCATTTTACAGGCCTCTAAATACAAAACGTTAGTCCTTGTTAAAAAAACTAGCCTCCCTAGCTCCTCTTACACCAATGAGAGGCAATTTCTATGATACTACTTACACCACTTAAGAAGCCATACCATGTTAGTTTAAATACTAATGGCATCATACACATACAAAAGTCATACCATGGAAGCGTGTACCCATTTTCCATCTACCCATTCCTTATGAGGCCTTAAGTTACAATGATCAAACTCGAATGCCTCGTTAATGGTCCAAAAGTAGACTACATACTTTGAGCCAGCAAGAATGTTGGATATACGACCTACCCACCACCCATCATTATACCAAGCGTCAATGTTTTCACTGACTGCAAAAGGGTACAAACGTTGAATTTCTGGGGGACAAGGCCGTATGTTCGTCGCATCCACCACTTCTTTAAGCGGTTTGGTTTCATCATCTGTTCTCAATGTCTCATATTCCACCAGAAACTTGTCGTTTCGGGATGATCCAACAATCTTTGCTGTGTACCAAGATCCTTGGTAACCTTCATCATCACTTCTAATTTCAACCTTCATTCCCTTGCTGAAGGTTGGCTTATCGTCCTTCAATTCCAAGTTTATGCCACTGGATTTTACTGTCCATGCGCTTGAATCTTCCTGCATTTGTACATTCAAGATGTTTGAATCATAATTTTAACAAAGCAAGAACTCTTTGTTATCAGAGAGAACTATTTGTTTCGAAAATGCAGTTAAGGAATAAAGCAATGTTCAGATGATATTGTATACGAAAAAACATGACAACGTCTGAGCAGTTTTAGCTGTTCATGAAAACCTATATTACGAAAGAATACAAAGACCATGACACATTGGCTTCTGACTGTAGAAACTTGCATGACAAATATTTCCTAGTACCTCTATGACAAGTTCCTTGGATTTCTATATAGGACATACAACTTTCTGACATCAGTAAAAATAAGGAGACAGTGGGTGCAGCTGAACAAGAGATACAATCATCAATGAAAGAAACAAATGTTTGGCTTGTCACCTTAAGCTAAACACGTATATTATCGTAAAAAGAAAATGTCTAATAATCTGGATACAAGTAAAGAAACTGTTGATTGTTGGTGTTCTTCATTGCCCATAATACACAATAAAGATTAAAACTTGTAGAGATTACCTTTGGAGAAATCATCCACTTTCCATTGATCCAGTCCTGATGAAGCCGCAAATCAGAATGTTTAAATACCAACTCCTCATTGGTAGTGCTGAAATAAACAACATACTGCCTACCAGTTTGAACCTTGAAAATTACACCCTCCCACCAGCCATCGTTGTACCATGCATCAACTTTTTCGAGCTTTTTAAAGTGGTTGACCGCCAGAAGTAAAGGAGGTTCTGGCCTAACATGCCGAGCATCTGCTTCTTCTCTCAAGGGTTGGGTACCATCATCAGTTACCAGGTTCCGGTGTTCAACCAAAAACTTGTTACTTCCTATTGACCCAATAATCTTGGCAACGTACCAAGACTTCTTGTAACCTTCCTCCTCACTGGTAACTTCAACAGTAGCCCCAGTTTCAAACTTCACCTCCAATGGCTTCTTACGAAGTACAAATTTCAATTTTACAGTCCTCTCCTTCACTTTTCTTGTACAAGGCATTGTCTGCATATCAAGCCTTTTCAATTGAGCTAGCATATAAACCAAATCAGTTAATAAAAAAAGGATAATCTTGTAATGCATGTGTTTAAGATGTTATACACGCCAATGGCAGTCATTAGAACTCTACCAGAAAAGCCTTGATAACTAAATAGCACCAAAACGCCTGATTAAGCCTCTAAATAACTAAATAATTGACAGTAAAACTCAATTAACAGAAAGTGCAAAAAGCCTTTGTTTCACATTTAAATCAACACGCACGCACGCACGCATGCACACACACACAGGGATATATAATGGATAAATAAGGACAACGACAAAAGGCAATGTAGAATCAACCTTTAAAGTTCCAAGGCATTTCATTTCAACCTAGAGTTTGGTCCTACAATTTCTTGTTGAGTCTATCTCCAGATACCATAAAAGCTAAAACTAGAACAAAGAGAACAGAGTTCCATTTGAGCAAATTGCCCTAAGAAAACAAAGAAGCTAAAAGAAACCACACATGCAAATGAAGCCCTTCAGTTGAGCTACCACATAAACCAACCCACTTAATCGGAAAAAGATTAATTTTCTAGAACTGATTAGTTTAACAGCACTCTAAGACACCAACATATGCTTCTTTATAAGAAAACGTTGGAAACAAAACTGTATACGACAGAAAGTAAAAAACCTTGTGTCACCTTTTGATGAAAATAAATCCGAAATTAGGGATAAAGAAGAGAAGTTATCAACAAAACCTCATCATCTTCGAGCCTTTGGACCCCAAGAAAAGGATAATTTTCTACAAATGCTTAGTTCAATAGCATTCAATCAGAAAATCAGCTTCAACGAAGTGCCTTTGTAAAAATAACCTAATAGAAAAGTTTTATTTATAAAATATCAATTTAAAAATTTTTATTTATAAAATGACTATTCTGTTTTTTTTTTTTGCTTTTCCTTAAAGCCACGAACGTAGAAGAAAGCTCACCAAAACAAATCACAATCCTCTATTAGTAAAATAACTTTTTAAAAATTTTTATTTACAAAATGACATCTTTTTACAAAGAATGAGTAAATATTTTTCTTCATAAAAAAATAAAAAAATATCATTTTGCTAATTTCACTTTGTTGGATAATCATTCTAGCATATTGTCCATCCAGAACCATGACGTTCATGATCATCCTCTCTCCTTCTCTTTCTTCTCCATCTTCTTCAACTGCTCTAATCTCAATTTCTTTTATTTGGAGTGCTTTGTTTTTGGATTGGAAGCTACTAAAAAAGTTGAAGAAAATAGAGAGAAAGAGAAAGAAAAGAAGAGAAAGAAATGAAGTACTGCTATTGATTCTGACGGAAGGAGACCGACGGGAGGAGAAATAAATAACCATTGAGACCGACAGAAGGAGAAATAAATAAAATTAAAATTAAAAAAATTATTTTTTTAATTTTACTTTTTCACTAGATTATTTTAACTAAATTCTCAAATAATAATGATAAAAATCATAAAAGCGAATAAAAGGATCAATATTGTAGAACTTTCTATAAAGTGTTTCTAGATACTAGAAAAGCTAAAACTTGAACCCAAAAGAAAGCACACCATAGAGAGAAGTTAGTTCATCAACAAAACCTGATCATCTTCGAGAGGCGGGACCCACGAGCCACCGTCGCGGCCGTTCCACTCCCTGTGAAGCCTCAAATTCCACTGCCGACACACGATCTCCCGCCGAGCCGCGTCCGGGAAGAGAACCGAGTACATCGAGTCCTCCAGAACGCCGGCGACGGTGCCACGGAACCACCAGGAGTCGCGGAGGAAGGCGTCGACGTCGTCGCCGGCTCTGAAGCAGCGGCGGCTGCGCTCAGGCGGCGGCGCCGGCCTCACATTCTCGCGATCGACGAACTCTCTTAGCCTCCGGTGGTTGCCCGGCGATCGGCGAGTGAGGTACTCGACGAGGACGAGGGTTTTGGACTTGGCCGGAGAGCGGAGGACGGTGGCCGGGTAGTAAGGTCCGGTGGAGGAGTGGCCGGGCTTGGAGACCTCGACTTGGTCGCCATTGTTGAAAGGCGAAGAAGGCGACATTAATTTCATGGAGATGGAGAGAGAAAGAGGAGAGAGAGAGAGAGAGTGGGGAATGGCGGGAGAGAGGACGGATGTTACAGCGAGAGACAGGGTATGGACGGAGTAGGAGTGAGTGTTGTACTGACACGTCGAAACCCTCCAAAACTTGGGAGCCACGTCACTCTTCAAAACACAAAACAAACGCTTAGGCTCTCGTTCATTTCACCGATTCGAATTTTCAGTTTTAGATTTTTACAGTAAAAAATT